TCATACTTAGTATAAGAACAAGATAAGGATTGATGGAAGGTGGAGCTTGTTTGAGGCCATGCTAGCAATGACAGTGATTTGCGTTACTCTAGTGCAGTTAAATATTAGTAGTGTTGCTTGATTGATAACTAAGATTCATTTTCATATTCTAGCACATGATTATTATGTATGCGTGTGTATATATATATATATATATATATATGAGGAGGGTTCAAACGACACCGATGTAATTTTAACTAAGTGTTACACCGCTCAATAACTTTATATTAAATGTGAATTTTGAAAATCTAACCGTTGGATTGAAAGTTCATATCTCTTAGATCATATATGTCAAATTTTGTTAAAATTAAACAACAACTTGAAGGTAATCAAAGTGTTCATATTTTAGTATATTTTGAAATGTATATATTACGTTAATTTTGTTTTATGAGAATGAAGTATCAAATCATCTTAGATTAATATAAAATTTGACATATATGATCTAATAGATATGAAATTTCAATCCAACGGTTGGATTTTCAAAATTTACATTTAATATAAAGTTATTAAGCGGTGTAACACTTAGTAAAAGTTACACCGGTGTCGTTTGAACCCTCCTATATATATATGTGTGAATTTTAGATAATTGCATTTATAATTCCTTCATTGCTAATTATTGGACCATTAGGTACAATAACTTGATGAGTTTTTATACTAATACTCATATAAATCAATAACTTTATAGACATTAAGTATCGGTTGTAAATAAGTTGTAAAAAAAGTTAAGCAATAGTTACTTTAGAATTTTTTTCTTCATGTGTTTGTTGTTTTTCCTTTACTTTTTTCCCTTCAAAAGTACATATAGAAAATTATAAAAATAGAAAAATGATAAAATAATAAAAAAAATTATTTTTACTAATTTGAAAAGGACAATATTTATGTAATTAAAACTGAAAATAAAAGTAAACATAGAAAACATGTTTTTCAAATCAAAGATTGGTTTATTATCACCAAACTCCTCTAGGATTGGTTTAGTGCTAAAGTGTTTGAATAATTAAGAAGTCAAAAATTTTAAGATTGGATTCCTAGCGACGAGTTTAAATAATTAACATAAAATCAAATATTTAAACTATATAATCAAGCTGGTAAAAAATTGTTAGAAAACATTTTACCAAAACATTTTTTAAAAATAGTGCAAAAAAAGTTTTATATTATTTTACGAAGATTAATTATTAATAAATTTAATAAATATTTTATAATAATTAAACGAGACAAGACATTTTTTATATCTAATAATTACATAGACAGTTACATTTTATATATATATATATATATATATATATAT